CGGGGTCAACATAATCCTTTTTAACAAAATGTTTAACGGTAGATTCAGAAGAGAAAAAATAAAGTCGGTGTGTATGTAATGTACACTGTAGTTGCTAGGGAGAAGGGGTGAAGGGGATTATTCAATCGACATAAAAATTTCATGAGACTAAGACTGCATTTGATTATATTCTAATATATGAATTATCTATCAAGATTATAGGACAGATAATACAATTAAAATTTAAAAATCACCTTGAAATCCGAGGCAGATGCAAATTCTAAAAACATGCATTACCCCTATAAATATTAGAGAGAAGTAATGTGTTGGATTTCAAGGTGATTATACCCGCACTTTCTAAAGAAAGTTCGGGTATATTGTTGTTACTCATGTCCGTCCGTCCGTCCGTCCGTCTGTCCGTCCGTCCGTCCGTCTGTCACACTTTTCTTCCCTGAACTCCTCCTACATTTTACACAGTAGCTTAATCATCTTTTGGGAGATGGTTGGTGGGGTCATGTAGATGTGCAGTAAGGTTTTGGAATTTTGATTTTGCCCCGGAGGGTCAAATGGGGGTCGAAAAATGACGTTTTTTATGCAAAAATCCCCGTCTTCCCTGAACTCCTTCTACATTTTACTCTGCAGCCTAACCATCTTTTGGGAGATGGTTGGTGGGGTCATGTAGATGTGCAGTAAGCTTTTGGAATTTTCATTTTGCCCCAGGGGGTCAAATGGGGGTCGAAAAATGATGTTTTTTAAGCAAATAGCTCCGTCTTCCCTGAACTCCTCTTACATTTTACTCAGCAGCCTAATCATCTTTTGGAAGATGATTGGTGGTGTCATGTAGATGTGCAGTAAGGTTTTGGAATTTTGATTTTGCCCCGGGGGGTCAAATGGGGGTTGAAAAATGATGTTTTTTATGCAAAAAGCCCCGTCTTCCCTGAACTCCTCTTACATTTTACTCAGGGGCCTAATCATCTTTTGGGAGATGGTTGGTGGTGTCATGTAGATGTGCAGTAAGGTTTCGGAATTTTGATTTTGCCCGGGGGGGTCAAATGGGTGTCGAAAAATGACTTTTTTAATGCAAAAAGACCCTTCTTCCCTGAACTCCTCTTACATTTTACTCAGCAGCCTAATCATCTTTTGGGAGATGGTTGGTGGGGTCATGCAGATGTGTATTAAGGTTTCTGAATTTTGATTTTGCGCCAGGGGGTCAAATGGGGGTCGAAAAATGACGTTTTTTATGCTAAGAGCCCCATCTTCCCTGAACTCCTCTTACATTTTATTCAGCAGCCTAATCATCTTTTGGGAGATGGTTGGTGGGGTCATGTAGATGTGCAGTTAGGTTTCGGAATATTGATTTTGCTCGGGGGGTCAAATGAGGGTCAAAAAATGACGTTTTTTATGGAAAAAGCCCAGTCTTCCCTAAACTCCTTTTTCGTTTTAAACAGTGGTCTTATCCTCTTTTCGGAGAGTGCACTCTTTTGAAATTTTTTTAAAACATCAAGGTCAAGGGGTAAAAAATCATAGCATGTTGGGAAACATCTTGTTATGGGTAATGTTCACTTGAAATGTGAAAGTCGAATCTCTTCTCAATGAAAAGGAAATACAACATTAATGAAAACTAAGTTAAACTTCAAGGTCAAGGTCACAGAGTCAAAAAGTCATGATACATTTGGAAAGGTCTTATCACAGGTAATATGAATGCCCTTTCATTTATCTTTCAAAATGATCAATTTAAAGCAATTAATTTGTTTATGAAATTAGGTCAAACTTCAAGGTCAGGGGTAATAAAAATCATAGTTAGAATGGTATTGTCCCATTTGATACTAATACGCATGTTTAATATAAAAGTCCTGTCTCTTCTCATTCAAAATATATGACCATATGACCAAGGTTAAATTTATTGTGACAGATGGGCAGATTGACAAACAAATGAGATTTAATGTACCCTACCTTTAGCGAAAATGGGGGACAATAAATGTCTTTGCTGTTCTTGAGAAAAAGATTTATGTTGGAAAAAGTCCCCTGCATATTTAAATGTAAATTGGTTGAAATTGGCCCAGTGGTTCTTAAGAAGTTAATGTGAAAAGTTTGCAGACAAACAGATGGACAACAGAAATCAGTACATTTCAGAAAACAGTATGCTTATAAATAGTTAATCAAGGTGCTTTGGGTAGCAAAATAAAGCTAAACTGGTATATCTAATTCATCCGCAGAGCTTAGTATATTTTAATATGCACAACCTTTTCAACTCTTATCATAATTATTTTTTAAAATTTATATCACCATGTCTCATTCAAGGGAGAACTAGAGATATGACCATATGTATATCTGTTGAATATAAAATATGTACATCTATACTGTGTTTTTTTAGTAATTTGTTTGTTTGCTGTGACAGCAACTGTTATGGCAGCTTTTGGCAAAGGTTGAAGTTTCTCAAATGTAAGTCAAACTCCAAGGTCAAGGTCAAAGGGTCAAAATTGTTGGTATCAAAGGGAAAGTCTTGTCACAAGGAATACACATGTGAAAAAAGAGAGAAATCCCTAGTACTTCCTCACCTGTTCAAAAGTTATTGCCAAGGTTAAAGTTAAATTGGGTTCAACTCTAAGGTCTAGGTCAAAAATAATTATACCTGTTGAAAGTTCACAATGATTACACATGTTAGAGCATGAAAGTCCTAGCACCACCTGTTCAAAACTTAGGCCAAGTTTAAGGTATTTTTCTTGTAAAAGTGGGTCAAACTCCAAGGTCAAGAGATCAAGAGGTCAAAACTGGTGGTACCCATTAAAAGGTTTTGCCAAAAGAAATTTACCTATGAAATATTGAAGCCATGTGTATAGCCCAATCCACTTAAAACTTATGGGCAAGGTTAAAGTTTCTGTGGACAGACAAACATACATAAACACAGGAAACAAAATATGTATATATAGTCAAATGAAAAAATTTTCTACTATTATGGAGTCATAAGATCAATTGTCATTTCAGGTACAGGGAGTCAGTGGCTAGGGAGATCAACCCCCCCCCCCCCGGAATTAGCAGTTATTTAAATAAGACTATGTACTGTAGAGAATAAAAATGACTTTGGACATCCTCCCCCTTAGAAAACAGGGACTCCACCATCATTGTTTTTATTATTATTTTTTATTTGCTTCTCAGGAAATCTTGGGCTGATTTTTTTGACTGAGGTGTGACCCCCCCCCCCCCCTTTCTGAAAAAAAAATTCTGGATCTGCGCCTGTTTATACTGAATGTCCGCAACGGGAGATAACTTGACAATGTGAAATTTGTCGACTGTGGCATGCGATGATCTTTGACCCTTTTTGAACTTCAACCTAACCATTTGCATTTATTTATTTTTATGCAATCTATACTAAATCTTGTACTTACCGAATGTCAGGTCGTGACAACGAATTCATGAAATATAATCCATATAATCCAATTAAAACACAAATGATTTTAACTGACCACACTGCATCGTCAGCATACATGTGCTAAATAATCTCATTCGACAAACCTTTGCTGATTCCGTTGCCAGTATGAATCGGCCGAGGTGTGCCGAGAGGTGATATCTATAAATATGATAATGGGTGACGCAAACCCAATGTGAATGTAGAAAATAAGATGTTCACACGTAAAACTGTTTAGTACAAGAACAAATTTCAAACTATCATAATAAACTATGTTTTAACATAACTTTGCCATCTAGGTCTATTTTTAAAAAATGTGAGAGTGAGTGTGTGTGTGTGGGGGGGGGGGGGGGAGAGAGAGAGAGAGAGAGATAGGCATTGACAAATTAATCGGGTTGTATTTTCAATGGGTTTTTTTCCTGACCAAGTACTAAAATCAGTTTGCATATTTTGATAAATTCATCAAAAACGCTTTGTACTAAAATAATATTTTATGTCGTTGAGAAAGTAAATTTAAAAAGTTCCAAATTATGGGCAAAATATTTATCTGAATCTAATTAAGTAATTTACTTCAATCATTAATTAAATTCTGTTATTTCAGACTGGTAATGAATTAAGTATTCAAAATACATATATGAGGCTCATAGATCATATGGTCACCTGAAAATTTTATGTTCAATTTGAGGTGATAATTATAGAATTATTTAGAGGCAAACACCATAGTGCGGGTATTACTGTCTCATGACAGCATCTAGTTTTTTTTTTATCAAGAACTTGTAGATGAAGTATAGTAAGAGGCAAAAAAATAAGAAAATTATTTCTAAATTTATAATTATTTAAAAAAAATATATAGAATAGTAAAAGGAGGGTCCTGTCCACAAACACCTGTGGTATACAGGCTCGGAGATGCCATTTACGACAACCTCACCTCTGTTTTCCTAGTTTCAAATCAATACCACCCCGTAGCCCCTTTTTGGATCCGCCACTGTTCAGTAAAGACAATTTCTGGAAAATGTTTCCCTGTAAGAGACATGAATATAGGAATTATGCGAATCTAATTTATAAATTAAATTTATTTCAAATCTTGTGGAATGCTATTCAGGCACGTAGTATCAGGGGGGCCAGGGGGGGCCTGGCCCCCCCACTTTTTCTCCCGACATTACCTTTACTATAGAAAATGTTTACTGAAAGGAAGGTTGGCCCCCCCCCACATTTCAGCACAGTGTAATGTTATAGTGTTATAAAGAAAATTTACCCCAAAAAGTTTGAATTGAAAGATAGTCGGTCTTGAAAAAAGTTGGCCACTACCCCCCCCCCCCCCCCCCCCCCCCCCCCCCCCCCCCCCCCCAGGAAATAGGATTTTCGACTTTAGACAACTTTTAATTTTTTCGTTTTTTTTTTTTTTTTTTTTTTTTTTTTTTTGCTTGTCAACTTTTTCAGGTAAGTAAAAAAAAATTTCTCTGGTTGGCCCCCCCCACTTTCAAAAACAATGCTACGTGCCTGCTATTAATTATTATTCATTTATTTTGTAAAAATTTATACGATGGAACATATCGAGAGCGAACTTTTTCTCAATAACTGACCACGGTACTTATGGGTGATTTAAATGTTGAGGCATGCACGTGCCTGTACTTTATTTACATTTGGTGGAATAAAAATGTCGGTAAAAGATAAAAAAGGTAAGTTTAATTTACTGCACAGCGGTTCTTTTAAATGTACAACCCATATATATGCATATGTAATAAAAATCCCTGCAATGGTACATGTAACCTCGATGCAAACTTTAGGAACATGGAGAGTGAAATATTTGTCAAGATATTTATTATTTGACAGTATTTGTAAATTGGATTTCGAAATCGACAATTTAAGTTACCTGTACCACGATGTTTGTTTTCTATTGTCAGTATCTCTGTTTTAATTTTGAAATTTACAAGTCTTATATTTAAAGTTTATGTTTTTTTCTGTTTGTGTGTGATTTTTTATTTATTTATATATATATTTTTTACTTTTGATAGTGCCTTGCTAATCCTATCTTAAGCCGAAAAATTGATTTGAGAGTTGGAGAAATTTAAAGTTATTAAAAAAAATTGTTCATACTGTTTTCCATATACAACATACAGAAGTTACACATTTGATTTTAATTTTGTTGCGGTATATATATATATATATATATATATATATATATATATATATATATATATATATATATATATATATATATATATATACTGTTTCTTCATTTTATAGAACTGCAGAAGAGCCCGGCAATAGTTCGTATGTCAGAAGATGACGTCAAATCTATTGCAGAGGATCTCAGACTGAAGCTGACTGCAGAGGAAACAAGCGCAGTTTACGGTACCTACAGATTACAGGAACAACAACCCCCCCCCCCCATTGTACATTTCCGAATAAACTGGTCATCTTTCTTTCATACATTGTAAATTGTTCATCTATCACTCATTTACAATGTATTCCTTATGGAAAATACCCCCCCCCCCCCAAAAAAAAAGAAAAAATTAAATTATGTAGAATAATAACTATTATGACGAGAGTTATGTATACGAGGGTTGTCCCGTAAAATCGTGGACAAGTTGTCTAGTGTAAAAAATAAACATCACTGCGTTCCGAAATTTTCACTATTTTTTAGTACATATCTTAGTAATATACACAGCAAATTTCAGATAAATATATGCATAAATAAACAAATTATGAGATTTTTTTCCCATGTATAGTATCACCTTACGGCGCATGGATTATAACGTCAAAGTGTCTAAAACAGCGTCACTTTTTATCTTCGCTGAAAATGAAGTTGGATGAGTCCGACTTAAATTTAGGAACTTCATGATACACATTCTTTAGTCTCCATAAACAGTCGAAGAACCACCTGGCACCCTCATGCGATCTTCTGAAGGTTTATTAGTAAGTTACGGACGATATTCTCACCATCATTCAACTAATAGGAAATCTCATATCGGCTGTCTACTGTGACAGCGTCTTTTGCTATTACATTAGGAGTTTGTCCGTATGTTTTGTACTCCCCAGGGACTCGATCAAAAAAGACTTCGCTAAGAAAACTCACATTTCATTTGTATACTTAAGATATGGTGATATTTTTATCATCTTTTTTCTTCTATGGTCATTTCAAGTCTCTCAAGGTGTCATTACTACATCGAAATAAAACTGAACTGCTCTCCGGTGCGCCGTAACGTCATAAAACGTCGCCATTTTTCGTGTGTTGTGTTTACCACTTTCCCATTTCGAATGCTCGAGAAACCGCCAAAAATTAACCAAATGCCTTAAAATTTTTACAAAGACTACAAAATTGATTGTGGAATTGAATTAGAATAATTTTAATCCAAATCTTATGTATTTAAAATTTTTATTTTGAATTCAAACTTGTGTATTCTTTAATAAAACCTTGGTTTTTTAACCGTGCGCCGTAGGACAATACCTCGTGCACATTCAAGCATAATAAAATCTTTATTTTTGCCTATATTTTATCAAAAAAATTATCTTGCACTTAAATATGATAAATAAACATTTACTGAAATTTTCAGCTTAGTGCGTCCATTACTTTTCGAGAAAAACGCTTTGTCCACGATTTTACGGGACAACCCTCGTACATGTAGATCAAATGCCCGCGGTCTTCATTGCGTGCAGATTTTGATGGATGAACAATTAATATATATAAGCGTGTAAAGTCCCATAACACATTGAACTTTACTTATATTAGCAACTGAATCTTCATTTCCTCAATGTAGAGTTTTGTGGGGGGATAAGCAGAGCCTACCAGAAGGTTTATGAATTTGTTCCGCCAGCCCCTCCCGTCAAATATCCCCGGACCCCAGGCTACAGAGAAACGGAGGACAAGTCTTGGTGAATCTGTTGTTTTCAGCTAAAAATAATGAAATCGATAAGATTTTTACTCGTTAATATATATATAATGAGTTTCAGTTTCAATGATTTTGATATTTCTTTTTTTTTTTTGTTTGAAATCGACTGTATAGGTATTATCGGTGCGACATCAAAGGGACGGAGAAGGGACTATTGGCGGGAAAAACTGTAGCAGTCAAAGACAATGTGTGTGTGGCGGGAGTTCCCATGATGAACGGAAGTAAAATACTGGAGGGATTCGTTCCCGACAGGGATGCTACAATTGTGACACGAATACTGGACGCAGGTATATTTGAAGAGAGAGAGAGAGAGAGAGAGAGAGAGTGCGAGATCTCGAGAGAGAGATAGAGATTGCAGAAATATAAAAATATTTTCAAAGAATGTACCATAGGTACATTGTACACATGCACTTGAAAATCATATTTTTTCATCCAAATATCATTTATAAATACCCCAATCTTAATAAATCACTAGGTTTTATTATAATTAATAAGGAAATAATTTACTTGCTTGTGGTTGTGCTACCATCAGATTTCTTTTCAGTTTTGCTTATAAATCACCATTACTTTTGCTATGAAAGCAGAATATGGTCAATTTTTTTTATACCTACGGCATGCGAGTTTTTTTGTTTTTTGTTTTGAATAATACGTACATGTAATTAGTAAAAAATGATATGGAGTATGCCACGAAAAGTTTGTGAAGTTCAACTTTTCTTTTACATTTCTTCAGGTGGAAGAATTCTTGGTAAAGCCGTCTGTGAGGATTTGTGTATGTCTGGAAGTAGTTTTACGTCATCATATGGACCAATCGGAAACCCTTATGATCCAGCACGATCTGCGGGTGGATCCAGCTCAGGTTCAGCTTCTCTGGTAGGCGACCATTATTTTTCATAAACACTACTATTTAAGACCGCATTATAGATATGAATTTTTCCGTTATTTCCTGATCACGACAAGGAGCTAGAACACGATGGGTGTGACCGGTCGGCAAGGAATGCTCACTACTCCATGGCACCTGATCCAACCTCTGATGTTTTTGAGGTCCGCATTTGCTCAGCTCCTTTGTTGTAATGTTTAATGAACTTTTGAGCTCTAATACTGTTCGCTATCTCCACATATGTCATGTATAACATGATACATTGTAAATATGTTGCATGATCTATGATCATAAAAATGCTTACATAAATGCACTTACTTCCCATCAAATTAGGTAGCCAGAAATATTGTTGATGTCGCCATTGGAGGGGATCAGGGCGGATCGATTCGGATTCCAGCAAGTTGGTGTGGAATTGTTGGATTAAAACCCACCTATGGACTGGTTCCCTACACCGGTATAATGTCAATGGAAAAGACCATAGATCACGCGGGGCCTATGGCCAGAACAGTGAAAGACTGTGCAGCCCTGTTAGAGGTATGTTACAACGCACTTTGAAAAATTACGCACTTTGGAAAAAATTTTCAAAGTGCGTTGATTTTGTCCCAATTTTAAAGCACTTTGAAAAATTTTTTCAAAGTGCGTAATTTTTTCAAAGTGCGTTGCTACAGAGGTACGAGATTTACCTGAGACCAGTTATAATATTTTTTGACATTATCCTTGAATTTTATTTAATTTAACTTTTGAACTTTATTTTATTTTTACAGGCGATTGCCGGGTACGACAACGGTAACGATCCACGACAGTTTCCGACAATATCGGTTCCTCCATATTCACAGCTTGTAGGTTCTCATTGAGTTAAGTAGGTTCTCTATAGTATATAGCTATGAATGTTTCAAAATTTATATTTACATTTCCAATGTCTTTATCCGAGATAAAATTACAAATTTTAAATGTACTTTATTTCCCCATCAATGTATTGGCGCGGTTCCAAAAAAAAACCAAAAAAAAAACGTGCAGGTCGGGATAAACAGCTATGACAGAAGCAGGGCTTGGAGCACGTGGATTGGCGGAATCAAAGCATCGAAAAATCTTACAGTTATTCCTTAAATCAAGTCCATGCACTGCACTATATTCTAGTTATTTCATATATACACACGCACATATGCCTAAATTAGTAATCCACGCAGACTTAGGGTAAGTATATGTTCAATTGAATACAATATACAAGACAAAGTATTCTATTGGTTTTAAAAACAAGACCATTCCAGTATGAAGAAGAACGACTTTTACAGCTTTACATTGATAAAAATAATTTCAAAATTTAAAAAATGATTCATTGTTGAAGACTCCATGATTATGTGTAATTTTCTTAGATTGACAACGGGATAAAAGGGAAGAAGGTAGCGATTCTCATGGAAGGTTTTGAAGAAGTAGAGGAAGGTATTGCCAAAAATGTGAGGGATGCGGCTTACAAACTACGAGAAGCTGGGGCTGACGTCACAGAAGTTTCCCTACCCATTCATTTGGATGGTAGGAGTTAATTTAATGTTCAGTCCTTCCACGGAAAGGCATTGCAAGTCTTCCCTCCCCACCCCTCACTTTTGAAATGTTGAGACATCTATAATTTTGTAACATAAATTTTTCTTCAGTAAATTAGTTTATGAAGTTTTTCTTTATTCAAAATCTATAGGAAGGAAATAAAAATTTAATCTTTTATTTTTTTTTCTCTACAAAAGAAAATAAAGTTCCCTAAAATAAATGAATTACTTATTCAGAATTATATTGGACCAAAAATTCTAGTCATTTCAGAACTGAAAGAAACCTCTTTCTATTTATCATTTGTTCTAGATTTTGCAAAAGACATGCACTTTTTCAACAAGTACTGTTTCTTGAACATACAGGTAGGGATTTTTGGACACCAGTTAATTTAGAAGGGACGTATCAAGAATCGGTGAAAGGCAACGGTACGTTATCTTACTATGCTCCCTGTAATTGAAGATTTGGGGGTGTATGGTTTTTGCCCTGTCGGTCCGTCTGTCCGCAAATACTGTAACTTTACACCATGCATACCTTTGATTCATTAGAGCTATGGCTTTCATTTTTCACATGTGTATTCTTTATGACAAGACTTTCCTCTGGGTACCAACATATTAGACCCCTTGACCTTGGAGTTTGACTCAATTTAGCAAAAATGTACCAAACTTTATACTATTACCTTGACAAAAACTTGAAATAGCTGTTGCTAAGACTTTCATATTTCACATGTGTGTCATCATGACCAGACCTTTAAATTCCATGATGTACATATTTTTTTTACCTTGACCTCAGAGTTGATGCTCTTTTGATTTTTTTTTAACATTGGCAATAACTTTTGAATATTTTGTACCAGAGCTGTCAAACTTCACAGGTTTACCAGGTATTCCTTGTGACAAGACTTTCCCAAGAATACCAGCAATATTGACCTTTTGGCCTTGATGTTAGAGTTTGAAATATTTTTGAAAAATATTTACTGTAATCTTCACCATGTATTTGAACAGTTGGAAAAAGGCTTTTATATTTTGCATGTATATATCTAATGAGTTTTCCACTGCGTACAATTACTTTTTACCATTTGTCTTTGGCTTTGGAGCTTGACCAACTTTCAGAAAACAATATTTATGGCCACAGATTTTGAATTATTTGTGCTTAGGCTTAAATATTTACCAGATATATCCATTGACATAAGGCCTTTCTTTGGATGATAACATTTTTGATCGCTTGACCCCTGAGTTTGACTTGCATTTGAGAAACATTAACCTTCGCTATAAACTGCCATACGGGGGCATCAGTGTATCACAAATTCGTCTTGTTTGTTTTTATTTGCTATAGTTACCATAACGACAAATTAAATGATTATTAAAATAAATTTTAAAATGGTTTTAAAGATAATCATCATTTAGTGATGGTCCACTCTCCTTTATTTACATAAATTTGTGGATGCGAAGTAATAATAAAATATAATTAAAATTATAGATTATTCTTTTAACACTGAAGGTCACGGATATGGCTGGAAAGGAACCTATGACCTCCCACTTCAGGAACACCTGACAGGTGCATATAATCTCCGCCCCTTTGATTGCCCCATCATGGTAAAAATCCTCATGGTATTTTCTGAATTTATGCAGAGGAACTATCAAAACAAATTCTATGCCAAAGGACAGAACTTGATACAATTTCTGACATCGGAGTATAACAGAATTCTCAAGGATTATGACGTCATGATTTTACCGACACTTCGGGGGAAGCCTTTGAAACTTCCTACAACAGATATGTCTGTTAAAGGTAAGAGCTCGAGAGAAAAGAAATAGAAGAGAAATGGATTTTTTTATTAATTCATTTAAATTGTCATAATAACAAATACATCAAGATACAAAAGTGTTTACTTTGAATATAATGGTAATGTAACAAAAATACCCATGATTAAAGCAGGAAAATCAACTTTTATCTGCTTTTGAATACTTATTCCACTGTAAATTTGATGATTGTACTGTTTCTGTTTTCCGTTTAGAAACATTGAGTCTTTTAGGAATGTTAAGAAACACAGCCCCATTCAACGCTACAGGACATCCTGCTCTCACCATTAACTCTGGATTTAGTGAGGGGTTCCCTTGTGGGATGATGGTTGTGGGGAAAATGTTTGATGAAACTACAGTTCTCCAGGTCGCCAGAGCGTACGAGAAAATTCGGGATGAGACATAGCGAAACAGCTAAGATGCATGGGTCAACCAATTATTTTGAAGAAAATAAAGAACGGGATGTTCAGAGAATTTTCAGGGTTTAAATTAAGTATATTCCAAAGTTTGATGTTTAATAAAAAAATAAAATAAGCTACATGTTGTAATTAAGGTTTTGAGTTGTATAATTAATGGTAAAAAAGCATCATCTAGTGTAAAAGGACACCCTTTGCATGCTCTCTTTAATTTAAGCGGTTTTAGTGAAGGGTTTCCTTGTAGGATGATGAAAGTAAGGAATATGTTCTTTAAAAAAAACAGGTCGCTAAACATGCTATTTAAAGCGTACAAAAAAAAAAATTCGGGATGGAGTTTGATTTACTAGTACCATTCCGTACAATTAATAATATGCTCTGCACATACGCATTTCGAAAAGTAAGTGTAGATTTTAAATTGATTTCATGTGGTTTTTGTGAAATATGCTCTTTTTTTTAAAATTAAAATCTACTTTAACAAGGATTTTCAAAATCTTTTGTCAATTTTCAAATGAAGAGAATGTTCACATTTCCAAAGAAATTATTTTGGAACCTCATCCATTGTTTTTTTTTTTTAATTCTTCTTTGAAAGACAGCAGATGAATGACGATACATTGTTTATTCATTACCTTGCAATCGATATAGCTCATACAGTTGGTACGGTCATCATTAGATGAACTGCATGGCTGTATGTCCGATATACCGAATCAAGTTATCTCGCTTTTAACTTTTAATCGAAGCATGAAAGATGAACATTTGAAGGAAGCTATGAAAATGAGAGAAATAATGTGTAGTATAGACTATCATCATGAAAGTTTAGGATATTTTTGTTTAAATTTTAGAACCTTGGGGATAACAAAAGTGATCACTCTCTTTTCAATGCACATTGTTCTTGGTGTACTTTGTTTAAAATTAGTTAAAAGGCTAACAATAAGGGGTCTAACAATAAAAAAAACACAATAAAACTTGAATATTTATGCTAAAAAAAAGAAATAGTTCTAAAATCAAAGACTTCCAAAGTAAAAATGTTTAACCTTTCTCAAGGATTACCTTTTAAGGTGCATAGACACAGATTTGAAGTTCATATTTTCTGTGTAATAACTTTTAGATGAAATAAGATAGAAAAATGCTATTACAATAGATAAGTCGTGATATTATATAAAAAAAACTTCAAATCTTTGTCTATGCACCTTTAAAGTAAAAAAAAAAATGAAATTATCAACTGAAAAAATTATCAAAGAAGTAAAAAAATATTTTTCTTTGTAATGCGAAAATTATTTACTTATTTTTTGCTCAAAAATTCTCATGTTCATTATTTAAAGGTAATCAAAATGGCATAAAATGTTTTCAAAATGACGCAATAACAAATATTGATTGAAGTGGAAAGTTATCTAAAATTAAACTCACCTTCAAAATTTCTTTTGCCTTCGTATTTATCTTTAACAAGTCTGTTCACACTAATTGCTGACGAAAAATAAAAGTATTTAATCTCTATACTTTTAATACATTAAAACTGTAAAATATTCTTCCTATAGTTTATTGTATTTGAAATTACGTCTAACATGTCATCTTTTTATATTCTACAAATAAATTTACATAAATATAAGCATACAAAAAGAGCTTTCAGAGTCATAAAAACATTAAAAGTAAAATAGAATATACATATGATAAGAACAACAGTATAATAAAAATATAATTTTAATCTTTGTTGAACATATAAAAAAAAGTTTATTATACATGTATATGCTTAAGTAAACGGAAGAGGCTTCTCTAATTTAAATATTTAAAACATGTTGTTAGAATCTAAGTTGTTAGAGTCTAACTATCCAATTTTCAATCTTACAATGCTAGTTATTGCGTTTCAACCGTTCAGTGAAGGTGTGTGAAACGAATTAACAGTGAAAGATCTAAAAACAAGATAAGCAAAAAAAGAATCTGTGTTCAAGACATGAAATTGTAAACTGTGTGTTGGAAATTTATAATGTAGTATTTTAACAAGGAAAAAATAGCGTGTGGAATACCGGCCATACCTGCAGTAAACCCTGTGTGGTGATCAGATAGACATAGTAATGTAGAATTTTATCAAGGGTGTGAAATATGTTTGTCAAAATACGACCTAGTGATATGTTCAGTGAATTTACTAAGATGTTTGTTATATATAGTTAAACCATCAAATTACTTGTTAATTAAAAAAACTTCTTTTATACACACTGTATACATCTGAAAGATAAATATTGTCTTCTGATGCAAGCATTTATAAATAAAACTTCCACAGGAAAAATAAAATTTGCATCTTAATAAAGAGGCATAAATCAAATTGTCCTTGAGATTAATTAACATGTTGTTGATAAAATTTCGTCTCTAAAAATCCATTTTGACGTTACAACCCCCATCACTGTTTATTTTCCTCGAAAAGACAAAGAGGAAAAATAAAACATACAGAAATTAAATATTTGTAATTAAATATATTCAAAATTTATTTCACTCGTGTGTTTTCATTTTTGTTCTCACTCGTGCTTTGCTCTCGTAATTTTTCTGAAATATCCTGTGAGCGAAATAAATTCCATATTTGTAACTTTGAAGCATGGACTAGACACAATATACATATTAATGAAAAAAAATACTTTGTATATCAAAAATGGATGCCATTTTTTACTGAAAAAAATGTAAATAAATAAACACTCTTAGTAGAGTAAATTTTAAAAGATAAATGACCATATGTCCCAAATGAACTTTTCAGACAACGTTTTGGCGTGTTATTTTCAGATGCTGTGCGTGTAGGACGGAGAATTAATTGTATAAAAAGGGAGAAAATTGATCTTTTCTTTGATATCTCAGATGGAAACAAAATGCTACGATTAAACCAAATTAAGAAAATAAGTACCTGTTACACACAAGAAGACGAAACTGGCCTTTCTTAGTATGGAACTTGCAATCTTCGTGATATTAAAGTAATTTGCAGTTTTATATCGCTGAATGTCAGTCCTTTAATTTGGAAATTTGATCAACTTAATTTAAAAGAGGGGGCCACATTGCTAGTTTCTTCCATTAAATTGATACATCGTATTTTATCGGTAAAAAGGTACTATGTGAAAACGTCCACCTTCATTACTGAGCATATTCTCCTACGGATGGCCGCTTGTTGTTATCGTCAACCATATTTAATCGTTTCAACAAGGCTCTGATTTATTACGTGCAAATCGGGGTAACTACCAGGTAGCAGAAGACGACAACAATGGCGGGAAGGTACGACGGTTAATGGCAGAGGATGGAAGGCCCGCCAAACATCGTTAACGTATTGCAGGAACCGTGAGAGCTTTGTTCAAGATTTCGGTAGCTTTTTTAACGTTGTAATTTGATAGATCTTTGTCTTTTTCTCCAACAGATTTGATTGTTAGTAATCATCTAAATTCTTCTATGTCCCAGGAGTTTACTTTTTTCTCGTTTAAAGATATCAAAAGTTCTAATAATATGAATTTACTTTCATTTTTCTTTAGTTTTTATCTTGAGAATTGTTTTGAAAATATAATATGAGTTAAACAATTACAGTTTATTGAAAATACATTTCCTTGAAGGTGAAGTCGCAATGATCAAAGTCACAAAGATTTTAACATTTTCTTGATAATAGAAAAGAAAAATAACAAGTAAGTATGTGTATATAGAATTTATTGTGATAAAAACCTAATACATGTATATATTTCAGCAGAAACATGCATGTACGAAATTGTATCAAATACAACCTCTCTTTGCTTACTAATAAACTTTTGTTTTCCAAATCTGCAACAAGGTCTGCAAAAGACAAATTTCACAAAAAAGAAAACTTTCAATTAAGACCAAAAAATAATGTGTGATTTTTACATAAATTCAAAAACGGTTCTTCTAATTTTTCACCAAAAAAAAAAAAAAAAAAAAAAAAAAAAAAAAAAAAAAATCTTGAAAAAAAAGTTTAATTAAAGCAATTTTAATGAAAGCATTGTTAACAAAAGTTTGCGATTCACTTAATATTTTGGCCTTAGTAGAAAATTCCTTCTTCAAAAATTATCAGAAAGACAGTAAACAAATTAGATTATATAGTAAAAAATAATGACAATTTTCAAAAGGAGATTATTTTCAATTTATGTAATGAGAATATACGGAGATAACGAACAGTATTCAAGCTCAAAAGTCCTCTTAACAATACAAATTCGAGCATAAGAATACAGACCTCCAAATATCAGAGATGGGATCGTAAGAAGTGTAACAATTTTTTTTACATATAAAGGTTTTTAATTTAGACCTTTACTCGGCATTCAGGGACATTGATCAGAGAAAGTCCTGCTTACAGCATGAGATCTTAAATATTGTGAGAGAAAAAAAGGTAATGTACATATTGCGAATATATATCGGGGAGAAATATTCGGGAAATAACTAAGGGGAGGGATTCTATCGACAAGCTTTTTTTTTTTTTTAAATATGTACATGATATACCCTACAGAAATATACCTTTCACAGAATTTCCAATTAGGAAAACGATGTAAAATATGTATCTTGTTTATTTGTTTATTGTTTTATTTTTTTATTCGATTGAGACGCTCTCACTTGCCAGTAAAGGACTGCAAATTTAGACCTGTGGTATTCGGCACCTGGTCATCTCCGTACCTTACGAATCTTACAGCAAATACTCTAACTACTTCACTACATTGAAGAGTATTTATAAAATAATGATGTGCTTACAAGATCCTTTGACTGAATTTTAACTCAGATTCAAAAATAATGATTTGAAAATATTTATTTGTTGTGATTGCAATTGATATGCTACCTTGAAGAACTTCTTTGAAGTAATGAATAAGTATTCAAGCAAGAAACAATGCATAATAACAAAATGAATTTTCTATGCAGTTTCAAATCAAATAATCCATAAACTTTAAAAAATCTTTTACGATGATGATTTGTTTTTCATGCTTGTTATATCAAAAATATTAATCAAAGGTTATTTATTATTTATTGAAAACATAATTCTGTTTAGCACCTTCTAGTAATTATTATTGTAAAATGCAAATCTCATTGATTAAAGGCAAATTTTGGAATTTAAGAAGTTAGACAAGTCATAAACTGAATCGTTTACAAAGCAATTTTGTTGTTATTTCTTTCGAACATAAATTATTCAATGACATAATTTTTGAAGTAATGTCATTGGAGCTTGTATGATGTAATGTCAAGATTTAGTTCCAGTAAAGTGTTATTTTTCAATAAATTTTTTTTAGGATACTAGAAGTTTCTTAATTGGAAATTGATAGGTTGACCAATGGTCCAGTGA